ACAAAAATTGTGATCAATCGACTTCAACTCTGGTAATTTTCCTTTTGATTGAAGCTCCTTCATTTATTTCACACTCATATGCCTGAGTCTACAATGCCACAAACTCGAGGTAACACTAGCATTTGTAACTGCAACTGAATCTCTGCAACTAGAAGTCATGTAAAGAGTTCCAGTTTTATTTCCACGAGCAACCACCATGGCTCCTTTAGTAACTTTCCATGCATCGCCCAAAAAAGACACACTATGCCCTTCATCATCAAGTTACCCAACTGACATTAGATTGCGCATCAATTTTGGTACATGCCTTACTTTCTGGATTTTCCACACAAATTTGTTTGCCATCTTCAACCTAACATCACCCATACCTACAATATCCAAAGTTTCTCAATCTGCAAGGTATACATTTCTATGATTTCTAGCCACATAATTTTCTAGAATTTCTCAGTGTGCAGTGGTATGGAATGAAGCTCATGAATCTAAAACACAAGAGTCAATAGAACTATTAACAGATAAAAGTAAAGTATCGTGTACCTCCTCAGCTACGGCATTGGCGACGTCGGTATTGTTGTTCTCCTCATTCTTTGGTGCTTTGCAATTCCTCTGTATGGTGCTTTGCACCATGGCTCCTTTAGTAACTTTCCATGCACCGCCCAAAAAAGACACACTATGTCCTTCATCATCAAGTTACCCAACTGACATTAGATTGCACATCACTTTTGGTACATGCCTTACTTTCTGGATTTTCCACACAAATCCGTTTGCCATCTTCAACCTAACATCACCCATACCTACAATATCCAAAGGTTCTCAATCTGCTAGGTATACCTTTCCATGATTTCTAGCCATATAATTTTCTAGAATTTCTCAGTGTGCAGTGGTATGGAATGAAGCTCATGAATCTAAAACGCAAGAGTCAATAGAACTATTAACAAATAAAAGTAAAGTATCATGTACCTCCTCAGCTACGGCATTGGCGACGTCGGTATTGTTGTTCTCCTCATTCTTTGGTGCTTTGCAATTCCTCTGTATGTGGCCTTTATTGCCACAATTCCAACACTCAATTTTTTTTCTTTCCCAAACCTGGACTTGCTTCTTCCGTACCTTTATTTTAATCTTCCTCTGCCTCGATTTGAATTTCTATCATAACCCTTGCCTCTTGTTTCAACATTCAAAGCATTCAATATTATCTCACCCGAATCTTTCCTGCGAACCTCCTCAGCAAGAATTTTATCCTTGACATCAGTGAGTTTTAATTTCGCACTACCTATTGAATTACTAATTTGCTCTCATAGGGTCCCAACTATTTGGTAGGGAGGCCATAAGAATTAGGGCATGAACTTCTTCATCAAAATCAATTTTTACAGACGACAGTTCATTAATAATTGTATTAAAATCATTCATATGCTCTGTCGCAGAAGCACCTTCTTTCATCTTAAGATTAAATAATTTTTTCATAAGATGTACCTTGTTATTTGCAAGAAGACTTCTCATACATATCAGTCAAGATCTTCATCAACCCTGTTGTGGTTGTCTCCTTCGCCACGTTACTTGCCACGTTCTTTGTCAATGTCAACCGAATGACTCCTAATACTTGTCTATCAAGGAGTGCCCAATCTTCATCTGACATCTTTTCAGGTTTTTATCCTAAGAGAGGTAGATGTAATTTTCTGCCATATAGATGATCTTCAATCTGCATCTTCCAAAATGCATAATCTGTTCCATCAAACTTGTTGATCCCAGCTGCAAATCCTCCCTCTTCTCCAATCATCACTTTCTTTCTCAAACCTTACTTTGATACCAGTTGTTAGAGGGGTTTAATTAGATATTAGCAAATCCTAAATCCCTAAAAGCGAAAAATAGTGCGAACAAATAACACAAAATAACCACACACATAAATACAAGATTTATAGTGGTTCACTCTCAGTATAAGAGGTACGTCCACTTTGCCGTTACGAAATTTCACTATGAAGAAGAAGAAAAATTACAAGAATCTCTCAAGTCTGACAAATTGGCTCACTCACTAAACCTTATTGGCTCTCGCTCTAATTGTGGCTTTGTCTTCTATTCAATTTGTGATATCTAACTCTAGGACTTAACCACTTTTTATAGGTAATACATGGGACACTATTCCTAATAGGATTCAAATCTCATATCCTAATAGGAATTTTATTTTAATTCCTAATACAATTATAATCATATTCTTAAAGGAAAACAATTTCACATAAACACATATTAGGAAAACCTATGTCCTAATCCAACTCTAATTTGGATTAAATTTGGCTCCACAATTTTAACAGTGTTCAGGATTGAATTGAACGCTAAAAGTTGTGCACAAAAGATGCATTGAAGATTTATATGAAGTTCTAGAAGTTGTAGAAGATCAAAATTTTGTGGAGGTCCAACAAAATGAAGAAAATGAAGATATCTTTATTGAAGATGAAGAAATCGTCAAATCACCAGAAGATGATGGACCTCAATTGGAGGTTAGGTTTCCTAAATTGGATGAGCCATATCCAATAGAGGAGTTACAGATCTTAAAGAACGTCTCTAGGAACACAATTATTATTTTTTTGTTAACGTTGAAGTGGAACAAGTTGGAATAAAAGTTCTACATGGTCCTAAAGAGAAGATCATGCAAGTAACTATAAGAAATAATTTTAGCATTTGACAAGACTTCAGCGGTCACAGTTGTTATGGTAGGCAAGAAAATTGTACATGGATTAGGTACTAATGATTTCTATAGGCTTAATTCATGGGAGGGGTTGTTGGAGATTAAGCTAAGCCTATTTAGTTTTATTAAGAGTTTAGTTTATTTAATCTTGTGAAATAATGACTTTTCATAGTTTCTAATAAGTTTGGTATCAGGATTCCTAATTTTATTAGAATTAGGGTACTGTATTTATCAATTTTTATTTGACAGAATAAATTGTTATTTTAATTTTTTTATATTTCTGTTAGGGCCAAAAATCGTCCTTGGCCCAAATAGGAAAATGGGTCTGACAATGAAGAAGCCAAGCCCAATCCCGATCCGGATTAGGTCCATTTGGGACAAGATACAGCCGGCCCAAACCACCTGGGTACGAGTCTCCCAATCCCGGCCCATTTCCTAGGCCCATGGGCGAATCCAGGGCCCACGGCCCTCAGAATACTTTCCTACTCGAAGTTGCTCTCCTAATCAGAATCACCTTCCTATCCGGACACTGGTAAGATAGCTTATCACGGCCCTAATTCTTCTAGGGTTTGCATCAGAGTCACACTAGGACTCCCTACTCCCACCAGGATTGGGAGACCAGATAGTTACTATATAAACAGAGGTCAGCCCTCTCACAAGGGAGATTAGAATACACCTTCACACCCGAAGCTCCTACTTGAGAGCTTCACATCACGGCCATAGTCACAGTCTCCGACTAGACTTCCGGTAACCTCTCTACTCCTTAGCCCTCACTATATTAGTCTCTTTCAGCCTTGCTGACTTAAACGTCGGAGTGCTTACGGCAAACACCACCCCGGTGTTTTCCGTCGCTTCACGCGTGTTTCTTTACTTGTGTAGGTACAACAGATTACTAGTGGCATCAACCTCACAGGATCAATCCTTCCTTCCGTATCAATAGATTTTTACGTCTACAATTTCTATATCATATCGACATGAATGGACCCACATTGTGGCTAGTGGGGATGTTGCCCCCAGTTGGACATAATGTGATGTTTAAGTTTTTATCATTATTTTAAACCCTTCCAGTGATTTTTTTTTTTTTTTTTTAAACGTAAATATATAAAGAATAAAAGAATGAATCCAAGCAGAGGACCCTTACAAAGTCAAGGTCCTTGGACAAGCCCAAGCAACCAAGCTAAACAAAAACAAGAGGAAGGCACGGCTTAACAATACAAAGCAGCCACCTAAGTAGCCTCAAAGAGGTCTATACAAAAAAGACTTGCAGCACAAAAAACATTGCAGGACTTCAGGATAACCAAAAAATTTGCACATGCTGTACACAAATAAAACAGCCACCAAGAAAGCCCGCAAGTCCCAGCACCCCAAAAGCAAAAAACCAGCAAGGATTGCAACTCCAAACAGAAGGAAACCCAGAACCACAGCTGCAATATCCTGCAAAAGAGAAAGGAGAACATAGGCTACAGCACTTAGCAATCTGAAGAAAATCCCCAGGCAGATGAAATCTTGGGAGCAGTTGGGCAGACAGCGCACAAACCGCACACCAGCAGCAAAGCGCAAGAGAAGGAGCTGGGAAGGAAAAAAACCAAACAACCAGCAGACCCAACCACGAACCTCTCAACCAAGGGGGGTACAAAAACCAGGCACCAGAACAAAAAAATATCCTGAAACTGTACATGCCAGTTTACAAGGCAGACTCTTGGGATACTCCTCCAAGCAACAGGAAAACACCCGACAACCCATCCAATAACATCAACAACATTAGCAAATTATCTTTATTCATCCTAAAGTCAACAAAATATTTAAATACATTTATCTCTAAGTTGAAAATAAATGTCAAATCATGCATTCTTCAACGTAACACATCACAGCCCATAATGTGGCGGATATTACATAGTGGGAGCCAATTTCTGGTCATGGAACCTAACGACAGATTAGCGGTGACTACAATGTTTTTTTTTTTTTTTTGGTTCTTCTCAGATTTCCTTAATTATATAAAGTAAATGAATATAATAATAAGATGAAGAGATTGAGCATGGAATGCTAATATTAATTAGTCAAATAAGTTTGAGCTATAACAACCGGTTAATTAAAACAACATAGATTTGTTACCATACATAAGAATTAATTAAGCACATTCATCAAGAAATATGTTCTCTAGATTGAGTCTTATACGCTATAATTCAACATGAGTATTTCCCTCTAAAGCATCGATCGCTATACAACTTGTGGATTATCTATAAAAATGTTACCATCAACTTAGATTTTCTCTGCTTATATATACGTATGCAATATACAGCTTCCACGTTCAAACCCAACTGAGATTATTATGGCAAAGCTTTGCATCATAATTGCCGTTGCTTTTGTATTTGCATTAGCCAATGCAGGAGACCCCGATATCCTCGAAGATTTCTTGGTGCCTCCAGGCATTGACCCCAACACCATAACGAGACAATACTTCACATACACTGGCCTTAGACACTTCAAAGTTACTGGGAATTTAACCGGACAAACAACGGAGAGGGTCACCAAAGTCACAAAAAAAGTATTTCCTGCATTGGAAGGGCTTGGAGTTTCAGTTTTCAAAAGAATATATTCTCCTTTAAGCATCAATCCTCCTCATTACCATCCTCGAGCATCTGAACTTATATATGTACTAGACGGGCCTATGGAAGTTGGGTTTGTTGATTCGACCAATAAGCTCTTTCTGCAAACACTTCAACAAGGTGATCTTTTTGTCATCCCAAAAGGGGCTCGCTCATTTTGAGGTATACTCGAGGGAAAACCCTCAAAGGATGACTGTGGCGGCGGCGTTCTAGCGGTGTTTGGGAGCTCAAATCCTGGAAATATTTCAATTCCAACTAGTTTATTTGAAAGCGGGATAAAGACAGAAGTATTGCTAAAGCCTTCAAAGTCGACGAGGAGATCATGTCCAAGATAATAAAAGCAAATGCAAATCAAGAGTAATATGAATTGTACTTCTTTATCATGGTTGTCGTTGTTTTAATTATAAATTAGCAGTATTAAGCATTAATAATTTTACTTGAAACAAATTACATCTTGAAATTAAAAATACTTTCGACTAGACACTATATACATATATATATATATATATGTTAGATTAAATGGGATGACAAATCAGTTTCTTAGACTGCAAGTCTGTAAACTGTACATGTAACACTTGATAAACCTAAACCTACTCTTATATTAACCTACTCTTATATTATTATATGGGGTACGTTTATGACTTCGTACGTGGTTGTTTAATATATACAAACCTAGACGAGAGGATAGTATGGATTGGTTTGATTCTAACGAATATATTCATTATTGAGTTTATTTAAGTTGATGGTATTTGTAGCTAATTCTGTTTGTATAGAAAAAAACAGGCCACCTTAACTTATAGTGAAATGATGGTAGGGAAATGGGTTGGAAAGAAGTTGATCTAATATCTCTTTCGTCTGTCTATTTAACATTTTAATTTCCCTCTGTCATTAAGAAGATGATTGTAATTTGTACTCGTCTGTTTATTTAATATTTTAATTTCCCTCTGTCATTAAGAAGATGATTGTAATTATGTGCAAGGTTTTAAAACTCAGACCAGACTTATTGATCTAATCGGGAACCGGCCCCTTCTCTGGTTCGAGAACACCTTAAACTTGGTTTTAACTATTGACTCGGATTTGAACCGACAGAATAGTATCGAACCGTCAGTTCAATCAGATCGATGGATAAACCGGATCACTAAAATCCCTAAAAACAAAATCCTTATTCCAATTCTAATTCTTCAATCTTCATTCGTTGCTCCGTGAATCCTTCGATCGACCTACTCAAGCCGCTTCGCTCTACAGCTCCGCCATCTGCCCGTCTACCACTGGCCGCACTTCACTCAACCTCTGAGTGATTAGTGATTAGTGAGTTTGATTTTGTTGGCATTTGAGACATGGATTAATAAAATTTTGTTTTGGCAGATAGTGATGTTTTGTGGTGGATTAGGGTTTTCATGGTGGCCTGGCCTGGTGATGGTTTTTCTGGCATTGGGCTGATCTAAGATTCTAAGGTGGATTGCAATTGCGGCTAGGGTTTCCTAGCTAGATTACAATAGTGTATTTGTTAGATTTCAAACATATAAAGACTGATACGTAATTCTTCAAAGCCATGTCTATTAAGTTTCAAATTGGCTAGATATGCTGACGACTAACGTCACCGATCCGATTGATCAGTCCAACCAATCGGACCTCTCAACCTAGGGACTAAGCCCTTGACTGGGTCAAGGCCCAAGTCAAGTTTGAAAACATTGCTTATGTGATCATAATTTTACTATTTTTGCCGATCACCGGAAAGTAACGCTAAGACATCATATCTATTCAATCTTTATCATCAACTCAAAATGTAATAATAAATAAATCCCGTATTCTATATATTAAGTCTTTATCATCACCCCATAATGTAATAATAAATTCCCTTAATATTTATAGAAACCGAAAATCCCTGTCTGCTTCTGTCGAGCCAATTGAAAATATCGATTATCAGAGATTCTAAATCCAATAACTTAATAACCATCCAAAGTCAATATCAATCCTCATAATGTCATTCATATAAAATTAAGAATACGAAGACACAGAATGATTTGACATAGATTTACTAAAAGTAGATTCGTATATGAAATTATTTTCTCTAGTTTGTCCTGTACATTGTTAAAATCTCCCATCAAAATCATCGCCGGCCAGGTGTAGTTTTGCACATAACTTGTTATCTATCCTTAAACAAATAAAATGTTGCCGTCAAGAAAATTAAGACATTGCTATGAGCTTCAGCTTAATTCTCCCCCTGCCTATAAATTTTCAGAGCTCAACTGAGATTTTAATAAACTCAACATGGCAAAGCTTTGCAGCTTAATCGCCTTCGCCTTCACATTCGTCTTTTCATTAGCCAATGCAGCAGACCCCGACATCCTAGATGATTTCTTGGTGCCTCCAGGTGTTGATCCCAACACCATAACTAGACAATACTTTACATACACCGGCCTCAGACAATTTAAAAAAGGAAAAGGAAATGTAAATTTAACAGGAGAAACAACAGTGAAGATTGCCAGAGTAACAAAGAAAGTATTTCCTGCATTGGAAGGACTTGGAGTTTCTGTTTTTAAGAGATTATATCCGCCTTTAAGTGTCAACCCTCCCCATTACCATCCTCGAGCAGCTGAGCTTATTGTAGTACTAGACGGGCCTATGGAAGTTGGGTTTGTTGATTCAACGAATAAGCTCTTTGTGCAAACCCTTCAACAAGGCGATCTTTTTGTCGTCCCAAAAGGGCTCGTTCATTTTGAGGTATACTCACAAGGAGCAACCCCTCAAGATGATTGTGGTGGTGGCGGCGGCGGTGGTGCCGCTCTAGCGGTGTTTGGGAGCTCAAATCCTGGAATAGTTTCACTTCCTACTAGCCTCTTTCAAAGCGGTATAAAAACAGAAGTACTGGCTAAGGCCTTCAAAATCGATGAGGAAACTGTTGGCAAGATAATGAAGGCAAATTCAAAGTAGGAGTAACATCACTTGTGATTATGGGTTATCTAAAATTTGCAGTTTGGCAAGTAATAAAATAAGCAATTGACTGCATGTGAAATCTAAATCTGCAAACTAAGATTGTACATAATAAGGTTCTAGTTAATCTCACCTTTACAGTTCACTTTTGATACTTACACATCATTAAAGAACAGATAAGAAAATCAGAGCCTATAAAAGATCAATCTTCAAATGAAACAAAATAAAAAATAAAAAAATTCAGTATAAAACTAAATTATGAAACATGGTAAGAAATATAGAATGGGGGAAAACAATTTTATGAGATTCTAGTAACATATATATCAACCATAATTTGTAGTTAACATAATCTTCATCTCACATAATTTTCATATATGAAAGCGAATAATGGTTTACAAAGAAAGAAAAATACATAAATAAGGAAACATGCATTACGATTATTTAAATTTTAAACTGCATAATTCCGTTTGTTTCAAAACCACCAAAAAAAAAAAATGAGTGAGCTAGAAGAAAAGAATAACACCATTGTGCCTTCAATTTCTAATTTTACCTTTTATTATACAAAAATACCCCAATTAAATGGCATACTAATCCCTCAAATAAAATATTACAATTGCAGACGAAAAAATACAAATGGAAAATCAAAGATAGGTTTAATGGCCCATTCTACACCAACAACAATGAAACATGAATTTCTCATAATAAATTAGTGCAACAATAAAATGAATAAATTAGGTTCTGCTAACTAGGATCAATTGAGACTACTAAGCACACTATAGCAGGGTTGGATACTTGGCATCCAGAAAGTCTCTGAGAGTCTGAGCAGCTTTCTGACCACCCATTAGTTCACCAAGACTCTCCGCCGGAAGAAGGGCGAGCTCCGCCAAGCTCTTACACCCATCCATTATAGACCTGTAGTTAGCATCTGTGACACCTGGGAGTCGCCTTAGGAACTCCACAGCAGATGTATTGTAGTTTTCAGCTCTGTATTCAACAATATTAAAACCATTAATTTCTCTAAATGAAGATCAACTCACTTGCTACAAAGGCATTGCCATGTTTTTTGGACTTCTAATATAAAGACTAGTTTGAGATTAGATATAGCTTCTATGAGAAACTGAGAATCACTTATAATCTATTATAGAAATAATCAACTTAAAAAGAAAAAAGGTTAGATTGTGTTAGCAATATATTAAATGAGTAAAAAATTTGAAATTAAAAAATAAAAACTGGCCCGTTTATAATTTTTTAAGAACTTGAATAATTACTTATATATACAAATCTTTATTAATTTTGTATTAATTTTTAGGATATTGTGGAATTTACATATACATAAAACAACTTTTGAAAACCTACCCCAACCTACTTTTAAAAATCCTTTATAAGGTATAACTTGAAAGACGATTTATCAATCATTTTTGGGTTGCTAACTTAATAAAAATAAAATAAATAATAATAAAAAGAGTAACCCCAAATTAGCTTTAAGCCAAGAAGTTCCAACCCCTAATGTTGCAAGCACCACTAGGCCTTAGCCGTAATTTAGCAAGCACAACAAGGCTTCTTGTTGTAACAGAACATTATCCAGCTAATTGTTAGTAAATGTAATCTCTACACTCCATGGAGAAGTAAAATGCAAGCACAAAACTTAAAAAGAACACCAAAAAAAAAGAACCCGAAATAGAAAAATAAAAAGCTTACCTCACATCATTTTCCACAACACCCTCTTCTGACGGCACACCAACTCTAATTGCTTTTGCCTCATCAGGTTCATCCTGATTTGCTTTTAGTGAAGCAAATATTTCAGCAGTTGCATGCAAACCGCGAGACCAAATGATTCGTAAGCGAGGAAAATGTAGAACAAGCAGTGACAACTTGGATATGATATTATGTGGTGTCACATCATCACCAATATCACTTGCAGACTGCAGAAAAGAGAGTCCAATAAATCAAACCAGAAAATGCAATAGCTTATATCCTAAGAGCATTCCAGCAGTACAAATAAACCAACAAACAGACAACAGCATTCTTTTCCTAAGATATAATTTATAATACCTGAAAAGAAAAGCTTTTGTCTTGTGAAAACTCAATCAGAAGAACAGGTATTCTGTAATAGCGCACCATTGTTTCCACTTGGTGGTAAAGGCGGCCAGATGTAAAGCTTGTAAATAGATCTTGGATACTCTTCCTCTCTACACATATTAGTGGTGACAGAATATAATCCCCAACTTCCAAAGTCACAGGTATAACGCGCATGCCCTTCTGGTGAAGAACATTAGGAAGGCTACTCATGAACTCTCTCATGTCCACAATAACCTGACAAGATGGAGATATTTAGTGAAACAAAATTTGGGGAAAGTTGAAAAGTTCAGAGAGTGAAGAACTATGCACCTGCATTTCTTTCTCAACCTCCTTTCTTCCACCTGCCTTTCTAGTCATTGCATTTTGGGAAGATGTAGCTTGTGCCTCTAATGAAGAACTCAATCCCAGGCAGTGTCCATCCTGAATCATATCAAAAAGAAGTCCACGGAAGAGAAAAACAATTCATAAGTTTTAAGTGTACAAAGAAAAGTATTCTGAAACATGCTTCAGTGATGAAAACAACCAAATTATATATCATAGACATAAAGGATAAGACATGTTGAAACAATAGCTTCCTTATTAAATCAAAACCAAAAAACTTCCAAGTACTTGAAAATGGGGAAGGGAGAGAGCCTAAGAGAGACAATCAAGTTTTCCTGGTTAAACTTAAAAGGCACACCTTCATAGAATTAAAATAAAATGTGTAGGTGAAAGAAAGCAATCCAAATCAAATGGAAGCTATGAAGGACATCCAAACAGATCTTTCTCTAAAACCTAATAGAAGATGTGTATGGTTCCTTTTTCAAACAGTACGCTTAATAGGCATTTCTTTCCGAGGTCAAAGCTCAACAAATTGGAGAAGGTTAAAAAAAAAGGCTCTACCAATTTCCTTAAACTAGAAATTTTGGTTATCATCCTCAAACTAGAAATTTTGGTTATTGTTGATATAGCATTTATCACTTCATTGACTTTAACTCAATAATTAGCATATGTGATGTCTAGAAAACTGCAAAAGCAGTTCAATAGGCAAGCAGAAGAATAAAGGAGATATATGTGATAGTAAACATTTCTATTAGAGAACTCTTGGCCAAAAATGTTCAAACCTGATCAACTGGGATCATCATCAATGATTTCTGTCTGATCAATGATTCAAAAGCACTGTTCTCCCTCCGTATGCTTGCTTCAAATTTTTGGACCTCAGTGGACTCTTCATAGAAGAGAAAATAAACTTTCAAGTTAATTGAAGGATTCTCAGCTTTGTAGACTTCAATTTCTCTGACAAAACTCATGTCTGGATGGTAAACAACAACTACAGCGGGTTTCAGAACATCAAGTACAGGCTGGCTGCTTTCTAGTGCATAAAAGTGCACCAGTGGAAGTTGCTTAGAATCTTTGGATCTTGTAGTATCAACCTTTTGAGTATGCTTCCGCAGAACACCTTTGCCAACAAATGCACTCTTGACTGTATCTTCAGAGTAACCATTTGTGGCCCCTGACCGACTTTCATCTGCTTGGCCTTCATTTCCTGAACCAGATATTTCAGGTTTTTCTTCTGTTGCTGTTTTGTTGTTACTTTTATTCACTCCATTTTTGGACTGCCAAACATTTGCTGGGCCTTTTTTGTTTTTTCCTTTTCCACGTCCTTTTCCGTGTCCTCTGCTGCCAACCTGAGTATCAGGATCATCACCAGAAACATCATCACTTATACCTTGATTCCTTATTTCAGATGCTGCTGCCAACAGTGCATCATGTTCCTGTTTGCATACACTGCTAGCTTCTGCATTCTGCGCAGGTGTAACAGGAACACCTCCATCAAGAATTCCATAACCTTTGGGCTCTTTTGGTTTCTTTTTCTTATTAGATATTTGCACAGTACGCAGCTCTACTTTGCTCAACAAATATTTTTCCCATTCTTCCCGCATGACCTTCACAAGAAAACAAAATATAAATGGTTATATCATATACTTTATGCATTCATTTATCATCAACATACGATATAAAACACTTCTTTATTATCTTTGATCTCCATATGAAAGAGACGGACTAAAGGTTAAGTTGAGATCTTTACAAGTGCAATATTTATGGGTTATCGTCATCCACAAATGTATAATTTAACCAAGCTGAAAGCAATAAAATTCCCTACAGATCAAAAGTACCACATCAAGATTTCAGTTCAAAAATGAAATCACAGAGTGCAGTACAGCACTACAAGAAGCCAAGTCTTTTATCTGAGCAAAATGGTTGAATTGAGTGCCAATTAATGGGTAGCTTAATAGCATATTAAACAATATAAAATAGGGCATGGGCATCAAAAACGAAATATAACACATAAAGCAAAGGTCAAAAACCTTTTGTGAGCCATTCATGATGCAATCTTCAAGCTGCATGCATGAGCGTTCATCTTTGCACACCACCAGGACAATGCTATGGTCACTTTCTTCATCCTCATGCAAAACTTCTTCCTTTGATGAAGCTCGCTTTTGTCTTTCCTCTTCTATCTCTTCAAGGACCTCCTATAATAAAATTATCACATTCAATCTTAGAACATGCAGTTTAATATGGCTTACCAATTTCTTTCTTTGTCTTCCCTCACTAGAGAGCATAGACATCCAATTTGAAACAATAATACTTAAGTGGCATAAAAATGGTGAATATCATAAAAGAGAAATTATAGGGTTGTACCACAAACAATGGTTTTTTTGAGGTGAAAAATAAATTTCCAAGAAAGATACTGTCACTAGGTATCATATAAAAGCAAATCAAAAGACCAAACAATAATATGCACAACTGAAAAAATTGTTGGCATAGACAATGGGACTCACTCACTCACACGTAACACCTTCCACTTTGGTGCCTCCTCCAGAACTTCCTCCAGAACTACCCCATTATTTGTACTCAAAGATGAAGTACCAGAATCTGCTAGGTATACATAAAAGAGAAAAAAAATTCAGAAAAAGGTATCTAAGAGATTGCCAGTGAACCTGTTCTTTTGATTATCATTAAGTATATAAAATCTGTCATTTTCACACCACAGAAGAGATATTCAAGGTATAAGATAGAGTAAAGAAAACAACAGTGCAAGAACTGGCCTTCGTTTTCATTATTTTCAGCTCCCTTCAATTTTCTCTTTTTCCCCGTCATGCTCTTACTTTGCCCTTCCGATTTTACACCATCTGACCTCATAAAGCGATAAACACGCTTCTTTGCATAGTCAAATATCTTATAGCTGGACTCTGAAAATATCCAAACAGACCGGAAACTCTCTGATACCCTCAGTGTATCCAAATACTTCAAAAAACTGACAGCATCGTACCTACCAAAATAACATCGAAATCTTGATCAAACCCCACTAAGTAACTAAAAAAAAATTCAAAAAGACAACAACCGTTTCTGCTAAATCCTCCTGCACAAATTCAACAACTATACCGAAAAGTAAGAAACAAGTACTTTCACTTCATCATCACACCACAAAATTCTCCCCAAATTCTGAAACTTCATCCTACGAGTAAATTCAATTAATATATCAACATCGGAATTGATTTTGCTTCTACTCATCTATCAAATGTATTATTCTTAATATTACATAAAGTTATGTAAAATGCTTAACATAAGTTGTGCGAAGTACCTAACAAGATAGTCCAACAACTTCCTTAAAGTCTTCAAATCAGAAACCAACTGCCTGGTCTTCTTCCCCAAGATATGCCAAATGGGATCCAGTTGCCTCCTAATAATTTCATCAAACGATTTGAACAAGCCATTCTCCACCGTCAGATCCTCCACATCAACCTTATTAGTCTTCCTCATCTCCTTCAAACAAGCATCCATGACTTCCAGAACAGCTTTCTGTATCCCCACCATATATTTAGTCATGGGCACCCTTATATCCACCACCACCGGTGGGTTCCTCTCCAGCTCCTCGGACACATTCACTTGAAATCTGGGCCACAAATGAAGCTTCCTGATGAACAAACTCTTCATTATCCTCTCAGTCTTGGAAAAACCAGAAACCATAGCAGTGGGTTTATCAGAAAAGGCGCGGATATAGGCTTTCTTGTTGAAGGATTTGACAATTCTACAAATAAAAGTTTCAGTGGAGGAATCAGAAAGGGCATGGGTGTTGAGAATGACAATACCGGCGATATGAGAAGTTGGTAACTTTTGGGTCAAAAGGTCGACGATGAGAATTCTGGCAGTGAAGAAAAAGATTTGGCCGGAGGAGTAAAGGGAGTGGCGATGGGAGGCGGAGAGATCGGCGGTGATTTCGGAGGGGAGTTGATTTGGTGAGTGAGGAGAGAGGAAGTGGAAAATTTGGGACTTGAGAGAAGAAGAGGAAGAAAGAAGGAGGAGAGTACCTTGGGAAGGAGAGTGGAGGAGGAGAAGAACTAAACTAATGTTGCAAGCACCACTAGGCCTTAGCCGTAATTTAGCAAGCACAACAAGGCTTCTTGTTGTAACAGAACATTATCCAGCTAATTGTTAGTAAATGTAATCTCTACACTCCATGGAGAAGTAAAATGCAAGCACAAAACTTAAAAAGAACACCAAAAAAAAAGAACCCGAAATAGAAAAATAAAAAGCTTACCTCACATCATTTTCCACAACACCCTCTTCTGACGGCACACCAACTCTAATTGCTTTTGCCTCATCAGGTTCATCCTGATTTGCTTTTAGTGAAGCAAATATTTCAGCAGTTGCATGCAAACCGCGAGACCAAATGATTCGTAAGCGAGGAAAATGTAGAACAAGCAGTGACAACTTGGATATGATATTATGTGGTGTCACATCATCACCAATATCACTTGCAGACTGCAGAAAAGAGAGTCCAATAAATCAAACCAGAAAATGCAATAGCTTATATCCTAAGAGCATTCCAGCAGTACAAATAAACCAACAAACAGACAACAGCATTCTTTTCCTAAGATATAATTTATAATACCTGAAAAGAAAAGCTTTTGTCTTGTGAAAACTCAATCAGAAGAACAGGTATTCTGTAATAGCGCACCATTGTTTCCACTTGGTGGTAAAGGCGGCCAGATGTAAAGCTTGTAAATAGATCTTGGATACTCTTCCTCTCTACACATATTAGTGGTGACAGAATATAATCCCCAACTTCCAAAGTCACAGGTATAACGCGCATGCCCTTCTGGTGAAGAACATTAGGAAGGCTACTCATGAACTCTCTCATGTCCACAATAACCTGACAAGATGGAGATATTTAGTGAAACAAAATTTGGGGAAAGTTGAAAAGTTCAGAGAGTGAAGAACTATGCACCTGCATTTCTTTCTCAACCTCCTTTCTTCCACCTGCCTTTCTAGTCATTGCATTTTGGGAAGATGTAGCTTGTGCCTCTAATGAAGAACTCAATCCCAGGCAGTGTCCATCCTGAATCATATCAAAAAGAAGTCCACGGAAGAGAAAAACAATTCATAAGTTTTAAGTGTACAAAGAAAAGTATTCTGAAACATGCTTCAGTGATGAAAACAACCAAATTATATATCATAGACATAAAGGATAAGACATGTTGAAACAATAGCTTCCTTATTAAATCAAAACCAAAAAACTTCCAAGTACTTGAAAATGGGGAAGGGAGAGAGCCTAAGAGAGACAATCAAGTTTTCCTGGTTAAACTTAAAAGGCACACCTTCATAGAATTAAAATAAAATGTGTAGGTGAAAGAAAGCAATCCAAATCAAATGGAAGCTATGAAGGACATCCAAACAGATCTTTCTCTAAAACCTAATAGAAGATGTGTATGGTTCCTTTTTCAAACAGTACGCTTAATAGGCATTTCTTTCCGAGGTCAAAGCTCAACAAATTGGAGAAGGTTAAAAAAAAAGGCTCTACCAATTTCCTTAAACTAGAAATTTTGGTTATCATCCTCAAACTAGAAATTTTGGTTATTGTTGATATAGCATTTATCACTTCATTGACTTTAACTCAATAATTAGCATATGTGATGTCTAGAAAACTGCAAAAGCAGTTCAATAGGCAAGCAGAAGAATAAAGGAGATATATGTGATAGTAAACATTTCTATTAGAGAACTCTTGGCCAAAAATGTTCAAACCTGATCAACTGGGATCATCATCAATGATTTCTGTCTGATCAATGATTCAAAAGCACTGTTCTCCCTCCGTATGCTTGCTTCAAATTTTTGGACCTCAGTGGACTCTTCATAGAAGAGAAAATAAACTTTCAAGTTAATTGAAGGATTCTCAGCTTTGTAGACTTCAATTTCTCTGACAAAACTCATGTCTGGATGGTAAACAACAACTACAGCGGGTTTCAGAACATCAAGTACAGGCTGGCTGCTTTCTAGTGCATAAAAGTGCACCAGTGGAAGTTGCTTAGAATCTTTGGATCTTGTAGTATCAACCTTTTGAGTATGCTTCCGCAGAACACCTTTGCCAACAAATGCACTCTTGACTGTATCTTCAGAGTAACCATTTGTGGCCCCTGACCGACTTTCATCTGCTTGGCCTTCATTTCCTGAACCAGATATTTCAGGTTTTTCTTCTGTTGCTGTTTTGTTGTTACTTTTATTCACTCCATTTTTGGACTGCCAAACATTTGCTGGGCCTTTTTTGTTTTTTCCTTTTCCACGTCCTTTTCCGTGTCCTCTGCTGCCAACCTGAGTATCAGGATCATCACCAGAAACATCATCACTTATACCTTGATTCCTTATTTCAGATGCTGCTGCCAACAGTGCATCATGTTCCTGTTTGCATACACTGCTAGCTTCTGCATTCTGCGCAGGTGTAACAGGAACACCTCCATCAAGAATTCCATAACCTTTGGGCTCTTTTGGTTTCTTTTTCTTATTAGATATTTGCACAGTACGCAGCTCTACTTTGCTCAACAAATATTTTTCCCATTCTTCCCGCATGACCTTCACAAGAAAACAAAATATAAATGGTTATATCATATACTTTATGCATTCATTTATCATCAACATACGATATAAAACACTTCTTTATTATCTTTGATCTCCATATGAAAGAGACGGACTAAAGGTTAAGTTGAGATCTTTACAAGTGCAATATTTATGGGTTATCGTCATCCACAAATGTATAATTTAACCAAGTTGAAAGCAATAAAATTCCCTACAGATCAAAAGTACCAAATCAAGATTTCAGTTCAAAAATGAAATCACAGAGTGCAGTACAGCACTACAAGAAGCCAAGTCTTTTATCTGAGCAAAATGGTTGAATTGAGTGCCAATTAATGGCTAGCTTAATAGCATATTAAACAATATAAAATAGGGCATGGGCATCAAAAACGAAATATAACACATAAAGCAAAGGTCAAAAACCTTTTGTGAGCCATTCATGATGCAATCTTCAAGCTGCATGCATGAGCGTTCATCTTTGCACACCACCAGGACAATGCTATGGTCACTTTCTTCATCCTCATGCAAAACTTCTTCCTTTGATGAAGCTTGCTTTTGTCTTTCCTCTTCTATCTCTTCAAGGACCTCCTATAATAAAATTATCACATTCAATCTTAGAACATACAGTTTAATATGGCTTACCAATTTCTTTCTTTGTCTTCCCTCACTAGAGAGCATAGACATCCAATTTGAAACAATAATACTTAAGTGGCATAAAAATGGTGAATATCATAAAAGAGAAATTATAGGGTTGTACCACAAACAATGGTTTTTTTGGAGTGAAACATAAATTTCCAAGAAAGATACTGTCACTAGGTATCATATAAAAGCAAATCAAAAGACTAAACAATAATATGCACAACTGAAAAAATTCTTGGCGTAGACAATGGGACTCACTCACTCACACGTAACACCTTCCACTTTGGTGCCTCCTCCAGAACTTCCTCCAGAACTACCCCATTATTTGTACTCAAAGATGAAGTACCAGAATCTGCTAGGTATACATAAAAGAGAAAAAAAATTCAGAAAAAGGTATCTAAGAGATTGCCAGTGAACCTGTTCTTTTGATTATCATTAAGTATATAAAATCTGTCATTTTCACACCACAGAAGAGATATTCAAGGTATAAGATAGAGTAAAGAAAACAACAGTGCAAGAACTGGCCTTCGTTTTCATTATTTTCAGCTCCCTTCAATTTTCTCTTTTTCCCCGTCATGCTCTTACTTTGCCCTTCCGATTTTACACCATCTGACCTCATAAAGCGATAAACACGCTTCTTTGCATAGTCAAATATCTTATAGCTGGACTCTGAAAATATCCAAACAGACCGGAAACTCTCTGATACCCTCAGTGTATCCAAATACTTCAAAAAACTGACAGCATCGTACCTACCAAAATAACATCGAAATCTTGATCAAACCCCACTAAGTAACTAAAAAAAAATTCAAAAAGACAACAACCGTTTCTGCTAAATCCTCCTGCACAAATTCAACAACTATACCGAAAAGTAAGAAACAAGTACTTTCACTTCATCATCACACCACAAAATTCTCCCCAAATTCTGAAACTTCATCCTACGAGTAAATTCAAATAATATATCAACATCGGAATTGATTTTGCTTCTACTCATCTATCAAATGTATTATTCTTAATATTACATAAAGTTATGTAAAATGCTTAACATAAGTTGTGCGAAGTACCTAACAAGATAGTCCAACAACTTCCTTAAAGTCTTCAAATCAGAAACCAACTGCCTGGTCTTCTTCCCCAAGATATGCCAAATGGGATCCAGTTGCCTCCTAATAATTTCATCAAACGATTTGAACAAGCCATTCTCCACCGTCAGATCCTCCACATCAACCTTATTAGTCTTCCTCATCTCCTTCAAACAAGCATCCATGACTTCCAGAACAGCTTTCTGTATCCCCACCATATATTTAGTCATGGGCACCCTTATATCCACCACCACCGGTGGGTTCCTCTCCAGCTCCTCGGACACATTCACTTGAAATCTGGGCCACAAATGAAGCTTCCTGATGAACAAACTCTTCATTATCCTCTCAGTCTTGGAAAAACCAGAAACCATAGCAGTGGGTTTATCAGAAAAGGCGCGGATATAGGCTTTCTTGTTGAAGGATTTGACAATTCTACAAATAAAAGTTTCAGTGGAGGAATCAGAAAGGGCATGGGTGTTGAGAATGACAATACCGGCGATATGAGAAGTTGGTAACTTTTGGGTCAAAAGGTCGACGATGAGAATTCTGGCAGTGATGAAAAAGATTTGGCCGGAGGAGTAGAGGGAGTGGCGATGGGAGGCGGAGAGATCGGCGGTGATTTCGGAGGGGAGTTGATTTGGTGAGTGAGGAGAGAGGAAGTGGAAAATTTGGGACTTGAGAGAAGAAGAGGAAGAAAGAAGGAGGAGAGTACCTTGGGAAGGAGAGTGGAGGAGGAGAAGAGAAGAGATGAGTTTCGGGAGGGAAAGGCCGGAGGAGAGAATCACTAGACCTCCACTACCCTCCGCTAGGAGCTCTGTGATTATGTGTTCATGAAATCCAAGCACCATTTTTTGAGCAAAGGTTAGCGTTGGCGTTGGCGTTGGCGTTGGCGGTGGCGGGGGAAGCTTTTGTAACATAATGGAAGGGTAGTTTCAACTTTAAGGGAGGATTGATTTAGTCCAAGAGTTAAAACGACGACGTTGTGGTATATACAGTTACAGTATCACTTTTTCCTCCTCTTTGCTTAAAATTATGGATATAATAAAATAAATGATAAAAATTGATCAATAATCTCCGTGAACAAATAATTGAAAGCCTTCAAACTCATCAAAATATCAACCACAACGCCCGTACATCAATATATTACAACACTTGAAACTCTATCATAAGAAGTATTTAGAAAATTTATGCAGAGTTACTATATCCTTTTCTGTTCTCTGAAGGTAATGTTATTCAGATGAAACAGAAAATAGGAGAAATAAGCAAAAATTCTGGAAATTCGGAGCAGTGTGATATAAACATGTAACCAAAAGATGAAAGAATTTAACTTCACTCTTATTTCACATTTGTATAAACAACTCCATCCATCACTTGAACTCATTAGAAGGAAAAACTACAATCTCTCTCTCTGGTTTCATTTGTCTTCCTTAGGAAAACAAAACGTTTACTCTGATTTCCTATTTGAATTTAGATCTCCAAGACTTGGCTTCATTCTTCTCAACTTCAAGGCAACAGGTTTTTTCAATACAGTCACATTTATACCATTCCAAACATCTGATTTGGTGGGCAGAAGCGCAATTTTCTCTGCAATTCCCATGTCTTCTGGAAGAACAGAACCAAACACACTGTACGAATTTTTCCACTCTTGGTGGTTTGCTAGGCTTATAAAAAATTCCGGACCTGAACCGACCCATGCAACTGAACCTCTACTGATCAAAGGACACACTTCCGTTGGAATCTCCTTAAAAGTGATTCCTTGAGCTTCCAGTGTTCCTTGAATCAATGCAAACGGAGGGCCAAAAGGAGCCTGTGAAATTTACAAAAAGAATATCTCAAATTTACAAATCCAAGTACAGTGAAGATATAATTTCATATATTATGTCAAGATGCTTAACAGCCATTTGCACATACCAAGGCAACAAGCGCATGCACAAACCTATTATTGATTTTGAAGTATACTTAACTGCTACAAAAACCTCAGTGATGGATATATATATGCACATTGAAGAATCTTACAGTGAGATGCTAATTTTAAAAAATATATATGTGTAACTGTCTATCTTTACAAAGAGGAAACAATGAATAAGTTTTAGGATCACAATGTGAAATAGAACATACAAAATTCGGGTAAAAGAAAATGTGGTTTGACTTCACATACATCGATGAAACTACTAAGATGATGTTTTTTACTTTTTATGTTTCTATTTGATAAAAATGAAACTGAAAATGAACATATTAAGTTTAAATTTTTTATCATCAAATTTCAATTATGCAGTTTGTATCATTCCTTAAAACAGTATCTAAAAACAAAACACTTGGAACATGTTTATTATCATCTTCCTAAAATAATTATGAAACATGGAAATAAAGTACAGAAATAAAACGCAGACAAAAATTTCTTTTACGTTTTCTGTATTTTCAATATTTTTAGTTATTCATGCGATTCTATACTTTTTGTTTTCTAAAACAGAAAACAGAAATGGTAAAGTTAAAAAATATCAAACATTTTTCAAGACCAAAAAATTAAGAAAAATGAAAGTGAGCATGCCCTATGAAACAGCAGAAGCAGAAATGTTGAACTAAGAATTAAGAAAACAAATAAAAGAAGATTCACAACATATATATATATATATATATATGTTCCATAGTTTCCCATAATACACCAGAATGATTAACTCAAATGAAAATTAATAAAACCTTACATTGTTTATGTGGTTTCCTTCTACATCCCAAGATTCACTGCGACTCTCTCCACGATGAAACTGGCAACCCGCACAATGGCGTAATGTCAACAACTCAAGAATGTAGGCTACAGAATGTGGGGCACACTCAGGGAGAAGCTGCACCAGACCAAGTTATTGTAAAAAACACAAGAAACTGTCCCGTATGCATGAAACCAGTGAAATAGACTAAACGATGTAAATGAACAGAATTACTTGTTTTGTTCTCACTACTTGAATCCAGTTACCACAGTAAGAATTTAGTGATCTATTTTCCCTATCACAGCAATGAATCTTCCACAAAAAATAACAAAGTATTTCAGTGTCCACCATGACAACCAGAGATACATATAATGAGTTTTTCAAGTACCTGATAAATTTTCCTTCACTCACATTGCAAAATAACTCAGATAAACCCCAGTCACAACAAATACAAAACCAAATTCTACCACCAACTAGATAAGGAGAAGGTTTGCTTCCTAATTTTTATATCTGAGTGTTTTCACAGCTAACGGCCTTAATATGGAAATAACTTAAGTCTACCAGGACCAATTCATAAATCCCAACCAGAGCATACATGATTTTGGCTTCAATATGCAAAGTGCATTTCATTGTATAATTCTAAAGTATTTATCAACTGATAGATGCTGGATCCAAGAACTTTCTACCTATTTAATAAAAAAGATCAATGTGTACCAATCAATTCTTTATAAAAGGAAAATTCCAAGATGGATTTTTCTTTTAAAAACAAAGAATTAGAATGCTCAAGACAGAAACCTTTAGAAACATAGCACTTACTTTTATATGCAGAGTTCCATAATCTGTTTCCAAGCCAATAATTCCCTAAAACAAGAATATAAAAGAACATAAATGGGCAGATAGGTTGACCACCAAAAAATTGATAAATAAGTTTAACTTCAACAACACAAAGGAAAAAAGGGTGAAACACAGCATTAATAGGACATTCTTCTTCTAAGTTTGTACATGGAACTAATGCTACTCCATGAAAACATTACTCTTTGATGTTGTACACTGGTATTTTACTTGCAACAATTCAAATCACCCTACATTATCATGGGTGCCCTGGCTAGAAGGAAAAAGAAGCTATTCCAACACCAATCACCATAACAATTATGGAGGATAATGGTGATCAGCAACCGAAGGTTCAAACCACAAACAGCTCATGACTTATTCCCACATACCACTTAACTTTAGAAATGCACATTCCACATGCAACGAAAGCTGCACCATATTAAGTATTGTAAAGCTTAATTTAAATTTTTCCTCTCAGGTTTCCTAAGGCTACAAAAGCAGTGAATTACAAGAAACCCCAACTACAGCTAAAATAGAGTCCTCTGACACCAAGAATGACCGGTTGTCAAAACTTCAGTTTAATGTGCCTCCAAAAGCTACATGTTGTGTAGATCAGGAAAACCTGAAAATTGTAGAGACTAGACCTACCCTTAAAAGTCAAACCATGATGCCTACAACTACCAATTGATCTTTTTTATCAGTAGCATGAAGCACCCTATGAATATCAATAATCCAGTAGAGTATCAGCAGGAAATTATGACTCTACCATCACTGTAATGTCATGAAATGAGTTTTAACTCAAAATTTTCAACATCCAGCTTCATACTTGTATTAAAACAATACTCATGGAAACATGAATTTCAATCAACATTAATAAGGATAATTAAAACGTTACCAAATGTTATTTCTTTCTTTGATATATCTTGTATCTGATTGTTATTTCTTTCTTTAATATACTTGTTTCCTATTTTTTTTTCTTTCTTTGATATATCTTGTTTCTGATTGCTATACAAGATAGGTGCATAAACGGGACGTCACTGTAGTTTAAGAAAATGTTAGAACATCTAAGTGACATTCAAACGGAAATGGAATTATAAGCTTCAAAAGTTCACAACGCTTTTATACCTCTCCTTTTCCATAGATGAGCCCAGAAGCCCACATAACTGTTTTCCCTGCTTCTTGCCGATCAGGGGCCAGGACATCTTTTTGTTTCTTCAACCAGCACTGGAGAAAAAAGATACCAAAAAAAAAAAAAAAAAAAAAATATTAAATCGTTATAATTACAGTAATATAAAATCCGGCACATGATTCAATTACTTAATGTACCGCATTCCATACATTCGGAACCGAAGTTAAATCTTATTTATATTAATTTAAATTTAATAATTTATCGGATAAGCATCTCAATTGTCATCCCTCTGAAATAAGATAGAGATTTTAATCAATGAAAAAATTCTATCTGAAAAAGAAAGCGCTAAAATTCCCACTCACCTCACCGAATCTTGATCCACAAACATCCCTGTTCCCACAAAACACCCAAGTATCACACAAGCAAGGGCCATCATTGCCGGTGCACATGGCCTTACAAGCCTCACAACATTCTTTAGAACTATTAAACTTAAACTCAGACCCCCACTTCACAGCACTGCCCCAAAGCTCCAAATTCTCAATCCCTTGACAACACTCACCAAATTCACTACCTTTCACAGACGTTAAAGACTCGAGGTCCGCATTCAAAGAGGCGTCATTTGATTTGGTGATAAAAGAGAGGAATGTGTAGACTACAGCGCAGGAGATCAAGCCCAAGGAAAGGAGAATGGGAGAGGTGAAACGGGGGGCTTCAGGTTCGTTTGGTTTGCGACCCATTTAAGGTGGAATTGGTGTAAAGAGAAAAACCCAGATGGGAATTTGGATCTTTTGATGGGATGTTGACTGGTAATATACTGGATGGAAAGAATGTGAGGAAGAGTAATCATTGAAGACTATTAATGAAATATTATACAGATAGTTGACGGTTGGTGAGTGTCGTGAGTCAATGGCTATGGCAAGATGCTTCTTTTTCGTTATTTCTCTGAAGTTGACAGGAGGAGAGGAAACTAAACGAGGACGACGTCGTATTTTTGTTAATAGCATGCAGCCAAATTCATTTCTTGGTAATTGGAATTGAATTATGTCTTTGTTATTTTCTCGCTACCGAACACAAATATAAAAATAAATTAAAAAAATTAAAATTTATGTTATGCCTAAAAGTTTAGGGTTGACATAGGCTCATGTCAGCAAAGGTTAGAGGTGGGCAAGGACCGGTCCCAAGCAGGCATAAGCCTGGGCCTATTTGGGACTGATCCCAAATGGGACCAATCACTCATGGGCCTGGGAACGGTCCCAGGCCCATGAGAAAAATTAGGACCTGGACCAGGCCTTAGGCCTAGTAGGGACTGGTCTTATGGGCTCAGGACCGGTCCTAGGACCAATCCCATGGAGTTTGGATAATTAATTTTTTCTCCCTCAATTTTTTTAATATTTTGAGTGCAAAATGAGATTTTATGGGGGGTTTTTAGCATTTTTTAGGTGTAAAATTTATAAATTTTTTAGATTTTATAAAATGTCATTTTAGCCCTCTTAATTTATATTTATTTTCAAATTAACAGGGGTTTTATGTAATTTGGCAGGGGACTATATTGAAAAAATACAATTTTTTTTGGGCCCGGGCCTGGGACCGGAGGGCCTAGTGGAGGGCCCGGGCCCTCCACCTAGGTCCGGTCCTCTCGAGGACCGATCCTAGGACCGGGTTTTCGAGCTGGGCTTTTGGGCTCGATCCCAAATACCCAGCTCTAGCAAAGACCAATTAGAGTTTAGGAAGGTATTGTGTCGTCCAGGTGCTACCACGTCGTCCAAGGACAGAAGGAGTAAGGTTGTCATCCGCTTGGCAGGTAAAGGCATGACGAGTGAGTGGCTGGGAGTCACCCACTTGCCAAAGCCCCGCGTGATTTAAAGATATCTTCCATGCAACCGACCAATGAGAAGCAGGGTAAGAACTGCACGGCACCTGCCCCCTGGCAAACCTATAATCATTACCAAAAACCTCTTACTATAAATAGAGAGCTCCCCGCTATTTTTCGGGATTCTAGTCCTGATAACAAAAAAATAATAATAATAATAATAATAATAAAACACTCTCTCTCCCTCTCTGTATTTATGCTCTCTTAGATCGCTGCATACGACCTGATTGTACTCTTTCATAAATAAACAAACAGTGGATGTAGAATTCGCTTTGACCATCTGAACTACTTTAAAAATTGTCTCCCTTTTATTTGATCCATTTTTCAGTTCACGTGTAATTTCTAAGTCCGCTTAGCACTTTACACATGCAAATAGTTTGTGTCAAAATCCAGCATCAACAGTTTGGCGCTAGAAGGAGGGCTTGATTTAGTATCCACTCTTCATCAGGAATCTCTGATCAATCGAATCTATTCGCTAGCAAATGGCCTGTAATTTCGAAACCGAGTGAGCTAGCCCCAGCAACGAGGAAGTCCCCTGGAAACAGGATGACACTTCGAGAGAAGTGCCCTCGATTCAGCATAGTACAGCGGCGGACATTCCTTCGAGCTCATAGCTCAACCCTGTTGTAATGGATTACCTGGAGAGGTTCAACAATACTCTCCAAACGGTTAATCGAAGGTTAAACCGTTTGGACCAGGTCGTACCACTCGAGTCTGACAAGGTGGTGCTACCGCAAAAAGGCCTGTAGGTCGCGCTAAAGCATGGAAACGGGCGAAGGCCCATGCCACGCGCACTACAGCGTGAAAAGGCAAGGGAAAGCAGGTGATAGATAGTAGGCCGAAGGGCTCCAAGGGACCAGCGAATAACAGTCACAAAACAGGTAGAATACTTGTGGCTTTGCGACTTGGCGACATGTTGCATCATGAACCATCCCACGCCACATCTCATGGGCACCCCCACAAGAGTGTAAGGCAGGGAAACCCCCAACAACCGCAGGTAGGTTCTAACCACCACAGAGGTCAGGCTAATTCCCTGAACCTTTCATTGCCCTCACACGACTCCAATCAACGTGTGTCAAGATATGCCAGAGCCTCTGACTGAGGCGAGAAAGAGTCTGATCTGTAGTCTTTCCTCAACTGTAATCGTGAGAGTCGAACCCACATTGCAAAAAGTGATCCCCAGGTGGCTGCGTTGCCTCAAATTTAGGAGTTACAGTGAGCTCTGGATCAACTTAAAGCTTGGCAAAATGAGCGTAGATAGGTCGCTGAGGCGTCTCCCTTTTCTCCGGTAGTATTAGTTGCCCCTCTCCCATCGAGCTTTAGAATGCCTAATATGCGAGCATTCGATGAGAATTTTGATCACCAGGATCTCCTCTATGAGTTTAACAACCTCATAGAGCTTTACCAAGTTTCCAACTTGGCCAAATGTCGTTGTTTAGCAATGACCCTAACTGCCCACGCCAAGCGCTGGTTTAGATCGCTTCTGCCAGGATCTATTAACTCGTGGCAACAGATGAGCTCATTATTCTTGAGACACTTTCAGGCGAAAGGAAGTTCTCAATGCCGTTGAGCTATCTAAGCAACATATGGCGAGAAAAAAATGAATCCCTCCAGTCCTACATTGACAAGTTCCACAGGGAGCTGCATAGGGTGGCTAATATACCTGAAGAATCTATTCGAACTCTCATTATTGCTGGAGTTCGCCTGTAAACCGACCTGTGGAAAAAGCTACAGTCCAAGGACGACATTTCCCTCACCTGCTTCCATGACCTTATGGAGAAGTATCTCCGAATAAAGAATTTTGTGGCTGCTCTCAGTCGCCACAACCCATGTCCTTCGACCAGTGCTCCTAACTAGGGGGAGGGTAGTAGAAGACTTGATCGCAGGTGGGCTAATGACGATCAGCGAAAGGGAAATAAACAGTAGTTTGAGCCCAAGAAATCCTATGCCTAGGTTCCTCATCACAATCGTGACAAGACACTCCTCTAAACACGTCAGTGTTGGCTATTCTAGATAAGTTAGAAGAGGTCAGCCTACTTGGAGAGTCAGTGCCCATGAACAATCCCCTTTCAGCAAGAAACATCAAGAAATATTACCGTTACCATCGAGATAATGGGCACCACACCGATGAGTGTCGGGCTCTCAAGCAAGCAATTGAAGACCTTATCAAACAGGGGCACTTCAAGGAGTATGTTGATGGTCCGACACCCGTTTAGGAGAAGGATTAAGAGGAACAGGGGAAGAAGCGTTGTAGTCATAAGGTCCTTTACTGCATGGGGATCATCTTTAAAGGACCACACCTCGTAGAGAATTCTCGAGGTGCCCAAGAAAGGTACGCTCGGGAAGCTCATCATGACCCCGTGAGTGTGATGGGTACGGCATCGCGACCCGCTAAGATTCGCAGGAAAGAAGAGATTACCTTCTCAGAGAAAGATGTGGTGCAATTGCATCATCTCTATGAGGATGCACTCGTCATCGCGCCTGAAATAGGTTGGGGCAAAGTCCACAGAATGTTAGTGGACAATGACAGTGTTGTGAACATCCTATTTCAAGGAGCTTTTGAGAAAATACAATTGGACGAGATAGATGTAAGACCTGCCTATATCCCTCTCTACGGTTTTACTGGAGATCATCTGATTCCGAAGGGAACAATTTCACTTCCTGTCACTTTGGGTGAGACCAACGAAGTGACCAAGATGATAGAGTTCTTGGTAGTAGACTGTCCGTCCGCTTTTAATGGCATTCTAGGATGACATTTACTACGAAGCTTCAAGGCCGTCACCTCCATTTATCATATGAAAATGAAGTTTCCCACTCCGACGGGGTGTGGGGAAATAAAAGGGTCTCAAAGCGAATCTTGTGACTACTATGTAAGGGCAGTGTAGATGATGTGCAAAGGGAAAAGGATATCGTTGGGCATTCCCGAGCAGGCAATGGCGATCAATAGGATCAAGCCATAGCCAGGTCTACCAGAAGATTGTATAGATCCTCGTGTTCAGGAGGAGTATTCCTATAGTCGGCCGGTTGAGTCTCTATCGGAGGTACCTGTTGACCAGAATGAGTTGACGCGAGTATTGAGAATTTGGAGTAATCTCAGCCCGCAGCTCGTTACAAATTTAACGAGCTTCCTCAGACAGAATACTAATGTTTTTGCATGGACTCATGCTGATATGGTTGGGATCAGCCCGAACATAATATATCATGCACTTAACATCGACAGCATAGTCAAGTCGGTTTGCTAGAAGAGAAGAGCCATGGACTCGAAGTGTTATGCTACCCTTAAAGTTGAGGTGGATAAGCTTATCTTAAACGGGTTTATTCGGGAAGCTCATTGCCCGAGTTAGGTCACCAATCCGGTTTTGGTGAAGAAACCCAACGATAAGTGGCAAACTTGCGTTGATTTCTCTTACCTTAACTAATCTTAGCCAAAGGATAGTTTCCCTTTGCCCAGGATCGATCAGCTCGTCGACGCCACCTCTGGCCACGAGCTGTTGAGCTTCAGGGATGCCCACTCAAGGTATAATCAGATCCTGATGCATGAGCCTAACGAGGAACATACCTCGTTCATCACATATCAGGGGTTGTACTGTTATAAAGTCATGTCCTTCGGTCTGAAGAACGATGGGGCAACCTACCAGCATTTGGCTAACCGTATGTTTTCCGAGCAGATTGGGAAATCAATGGAAGTCTATGTCGATGACATGCTGGTTAAGTCGCATGTCACTTTAGATTACATACCACATCTCGCTGACATGTTCGATGTACTCCGAAGGTACAGAAGGAAGCTTAATCCTCTAAAGTGTTCGTTCGAAGTATCCTTAGATTCTTGGGGTATATGGTTAACCACCGGAGGATTGAAATCAACCCCGAAAAGTTCCAAGCTCTCCTAGATATGACAAGTCCCGTAAATCGAAAGCAAGTTCAGAGCTTGAATGGGAAGATACCGGCTCTCAGTAGCTTCATATCGAGAGCAACAAATCATTGCTTGCTGTTCTTTAATATACATAGGGCTAACAAG